CTAATGCCCCAATAAATGGGTTCATGAATGGGTCTGGGCTGCCTCCAGCAGCTGGCCGTTTGGTTTTTGGAAGAAGCCAAATGAATGGGTCAGCTAATGCCTTGGTGAATGGGTGCACCCAGGCCAAAAAATTTCTAATGCCCAATTTTTTGCTGGGTTGTCGGACATGTTTTTGAACATTCGTACGCGCGTCCTATTGCTTTGTGTGCTTTGGTCGATGAACCTACTTCGCGTTATTTGGTCAGTGAACCTGTTTTGTGTTTTGATCATCCGGACAAACCCCTCGGGGGGCAACAGTCGTGTTTACAATCGGCGCAAGATCATTGTTTTTCTGACTCACTCCGTGAACCGATCTTGGGGGCATCGTCCTTTTCTCGGGGGGGGGGAGAGTATGGCCCTTCCCTTACCAACTAGAGCGACACCTAGGCGAGCTTACTGGAGAAAGTCCAAACGTCCCAAGAACCCACCCAGTTCTTTCTTATCTCTTGCACCATGGGAGGAACTACCGCAGGAGGCTTGGACGGCAGGAGAGGACTGGCATTCTGACTTTAGCTCTTGACTGGACATCATCTCTTAACGTTGACCTGAGTGTTATTTGTGTTGCTGACTTCAAGAAATATTACAAGTGTGTTCCTGGAGAAAGGTCTACTATTTATTATAACACTTATTGTATTGTACCCAATCACGGCGTTCATTTGAAATATCGCCGAGTGCTGGGGATCCCGTGATTCTTGCTTAAAGCTTTTGATCACCACATTCGAGCGCCGAACTCTGCTTTACTCTTTCTTGAGTTCCCCTGAGGTTCGGCATTTGTCAAGTCTGAATAAATTTCGACTGATTTCGTCCAGCGCACCGGATACAAACGTAATTTGAGTGAATACCGGATGCGGACCAGTGTGAAGAGTTCTGCTCCGACGGCTTTCTTCGTTGGCGAGATTTCCGCTTCGTTATTAATCGTATCCATTTCTCTACCTTCCCCCACGCGTGCGACTCTCGGCAACCTGGGCGGGACGAGGCCGGGAAC